TATGAAACTTTAAATTTTCTTTTGAATGAAATGTTGATGGAACAAGCTTTTGTAATTAAGGATATTTGTAATCATTCTATTATTATGTATTTGTATTCCAAGACCAATATAATTTCCAACATTGCTTATGAGACTTTGTGTCAATACCTCTTTAGATCTGTCAAAAAGGTAGCGCGCTATCTAAGAAAGCTGGACTTAGAAGGGAGGCCAATTTGACTCCTTCGGCGATCTGGGATCTTACTTGATTATTGGCCGTAAGACTCATTAGTGACTTTCCCTTGGCTACAACCCTTAGTGTAGATTTGGGGCATCAGAGAAATTCTAATTAGGCTTCTTGTTTTTGTTGTCTTTTCTATTTGCTAGGCAGTTGTTGCATCATAGTTTCAGAAAAGTCTAATATCCTACAAAGTCTACCAGCATGAATCCATAGAACTTAGAGGATATGAGACCATTTCTGTGATCAAGGAATGACCATTTGTTGATTGCATGAGCTTTATTTTGAATGCGGTGGATGGCCCACACTTAAACTGGCAATTCGAGAAAGGTTTCATTTCAAGTACTGAATCGGATATTGAGTATGAGTTTGATTACATCGAGTCTGTGGAGTTGGAGTCAGACTCGAGTTAGTCTAGCTAGTTGAAGTTAGGTGATTTCGAGAGTGCTAACCTAGACACCTCTGTCCTATCTAGGTCTTCTTTGTCATTTTCTTTTGAGTTTGTTATAACCGTTGAGTCGGAGGTTCTGAACGAAAATGCCATAAATTTTGCTTACTTCTATGCAGCTTTAGTTCATTGCATTGACCAAAATTTTCAAAATTTCAATGAAAACGAAGAGGAAGAAATTCCTCAGGCTTTGAAAAACTTGATCAGCTGGGAGGAACATAGGCATGTTAAGCCCTTAATGGATGAGATTGTTTCAGTTAATGTGGGTACTGAGAAAGATCCTAATTTGGTCCAGATTGGTTCCACCTTGTTTTCGGAAAAATGCAAGCGATTCGCCATTTATTAAAATATTTCAAAAATATTTTTGCGTGGTCCTATGAAGACATGTTTGGAATTGATTATGAGATTGTACAACATAAGATCCCGCTCAACCTTGAGGCCTAAGCTTTCAAACTTTGATTCAAAGTGTCCAAAAATCAAGCAGAATATGAGGCGTGTATAGCCAGATTGGAAGCAACCCTAGAACGAGGGGCAATGTGGTTGGATGTGATCGAAGATTTCAATTTGGTCATTCCTCAAGCCAGTGGAGACTAAAAGGTCAAGAAAGAGAATGTCTAAGTGTACCACCAGACTATGGACATTATGATCTTGAGGTTTGAGAAATTAACATTCACCCACCTAGTCAAAGAGAATAACTGGTTCGCCGATGCTTTGGCAATCTTAGCTTTAATGGTAGATATACCAATCGAGGTTAGGATGCGTCCAATCCTCATAGAGTAGCAGTATGCCCTATATGTGAAATGATAGTTGCAACAGATCCCCTAGGTATCATGACAGTTGAATTTTTTTTAGAAAGTGCCCCTATGCCCACAATAGGCAAATGCTAAGGATAAGATACCAGCGCAGGATTGCTAGGGCATTTAACAAAAAAGTCAAATCCCAGAATTTGAGAAAATGAGACTTAGGGCCGAAAGACAATCGAGCTCCTATCTACAACCTTAGGGAAAATTCAAACCCAATTGGACGGGTCCCTACATCATCAAGTCTACTTGGTCAGGAGGAGCAGTCATTCTCATAGATTTGGATAGCTTAGAATTCTCACAACCAATCAGTATGGACAAGCTAAGAAAAGTCCTATCCTCGAGAGACTCGCTGGGTCGAAAACCTAAAATGGTGACCCAGGAAAAAGTTTGAGCATGAAAAATAAAAATAAAAATAAAGAAAATATGAAGAAAAAAAAGGAAAAAAATATTGACAAAAAAAAAAAGAAGTCTTGGAAGGTTGAAAACCCAGAAGGGCAGCTTTGGCAAAAGTTAGAGTGCAAAATGAGAGTGTTAATACCCGAGTGAGCCTTACCCATGAACTACATAAGTTATGATTCCTATTTTTGGATACGTAGGTAGCTTCATCCTGAAGTTCAACCCCAACCATTTTCAACTCACTTGTCCCATCCATCTTTGATTTATGTACCTTTATTCGACTCGACTATTCTATCCATGATTCAATTGGTTTATTTTCATTCGGTTTGATTGTCCTATCTCTTTTTCATAGTAAATTTAGTTGCAAGACAGATCAAGTTTGTGTTATCTGATTTGAGGTTGTGCATCTCAAGGGTTAATTTCAAGTTGGCCGGGGTAGTGACCATTTGCGAAAACAGGTTTTGATGGTTTTTAACAAAACTAACTAATTTTCTTGAAAATTATTCCATTTCTCTAAAACCAAGCCATTCATTAGACCCAAAAAAGGAAAATTTTCCAATATTTACAGTTTGGCTTGCATGATTTCAAAACAGAGAATGGAACAAGAATGCTAATCTAACTTCATGTTGATTAAAACATTTTTTTACAAGAAAGCCAAAAGAAACAGTCAAAGTAATGAACTTGGGCACAACTGAGTCAGGTTTTCTATCTTTCCCCCGCACCCTAAAAAATCTCTATCAAGCAGTTGTCGGAAAGTTTATTGTAGTTGTCTCCAGCAATGTAATAGAACCCTTCCGTCAGCTGGTTGTCTGCGAGCTTGATCGGGCGATCGTCCAGGGGGTTGACCAGCGGTGGTTTTTGTTTTGTGTCCATTTCATTCCAGCAAGTGTAAATGGGTGTGTTCAGGTCATTTTTTCTTTGTTTTTCTTTCATTGAGTTGTATTTTGTGTTTTGGTTAGTTAAAGCCTCAACATCCAAATTAGAACCCATTCAAATGCAACCATTCTCAATTTCAAATCTAAAATGCAATGTTTTCATGCTGAAGTGCTGTGTCATTCATGCCATGATGTGCAAAACAAATTCTTTTTAACTTCAGGGATCAAAACCTAATCAAAGTTTTACAAATCCTAAAAAAAATTCAAAATATAGAAAATACAAAAAAAAAAAGAGAGAAAAAGAAAAAAGAACAAAAAATCAAAAAATCAATTGCGTATTTTTGTTTGGATTCTCAAAAAATCAAAGTTGGGAACCCAATACTTTTCCCTATGAGGTGCTTCTCTAGAACATCGTTTCCCGAGATGTTTTCTACAAAACATTGCTTCCTGAAACAAAATGGACCCATATATTGAGTTCCAAAATCTTTTGATTTGTTATTCGAAAGACTAACACCCTTTTCCCAAACAAAAAGAGAGAGAGAGAGTCACCCTAGTGCCATTTCCAAACCACTTTTGTGCATCCAGCAAACTGCTTTTGTGCATGTCTAGAGCATCCATTACATCACTTTTGTGCATTTATCACACTGCATGTTGCATTTGTCACATTACACCATTTGTGTTAATTGCATTCACCATCACTTGCACCATTTGTTACAGCTATCATGCATGGTTACAATTGTCACACTATCGCATCACTTGGTTACAACTGTTCAATCATTTGGTTATAACCTTTTTCTCCTACCCGGTAAAAACCAACCCCCTATTTTGTATCGAGGTACGGTCTAGGTTTTGCTTATTAGTTACAACCCTTTTCTCCTACCAGGTTAAAACCAGCCCCCTATTTCTTATCGAGGTACGGTTTAGGTTTTGCTTGTTGGTTAAAACCCTTTTCTCCTACCTGATTGAAACCAGCCTCCTATTTCATATCTGTGACATTTGTTTTTGGAGGACCACTTGATCAGTCATTTGGTCGCTCAAGCGAAGATTCTTAGCTCTCAGTAGTTTGCCATTATACAGGACAGACCACTCGAGCGGTGAAGTAGTCGCTCGAGTGTAGATTTCATGCTCCCAGTATTTTCACTTTAGCTCGGCAAAACCTTTGGGACCTCGCATTTACCGTTCGAGTGGTGAAAGTATCACTCGAGCAGTCTCTTTGAAATTTTGTTGGTCGCTGGAGCAAAGAAAAGTTCGCTTGAGCGATTTGTTCAGGCCGGCTCACTTAAAAATTGGTCTAATTCATTCCTTTCTCATTTTTTTCAATTGCTCTCTTTCCTTATCATCCATTTTGAAACCATAACACCCCAAACACTTGATTTCTTCAATTTTTGCTTTAAATCCACCATAGATCCTCCAAGAAAATTGAAGAGCAAGACTAGTTCAAGATATCTACAGATTATTTCACATTTTCGTCAGAGTTTCACATGGATTCTCATCTTTAGCTTCTATTTTTGAGGTATGGGTGTCTTTAACTTGTTATACCATTAATTTGAAACTCATACGTGGTAATTTCATTAGATATACATATATAAATGTATATAAATATATACAAGTATATATATAGAGAGATTATTTTGTGTTAGTGAAGGGATTAGACAAAAGTGAACATGTTTCCAGGTTTTGGAAGGATTTGTGTTTAATATTGATGATTGGGCACTTTTTCATAAATCCCTTTTCACCAACTCATATTCCATTTAGTCCACATTATTTTCTTATGTTCCATTAAGTCCAATGGGTGACGTAGTTACCAAAATATCCCTAATAATATTTATATTTATAGTGTGAATGTTCCGTGATGTGAATGTTCACACCATCAATATGAATATTCACATTGTCAATGTGAACATTCACAAATTAATGTAAATATTCATATCACCAAATTGCTAACCGTTCAAAAAATATTTATAAGGGTAAAAATGTCAATAAAATACCTTAAATATCATAATTAGGATTTGGTAGATCAAATGTCACGCCCCAAACCCGCCTCTAGAAGTTTGGGCATGACCACTTCAAAAACGGACACTTAACCTGTTATATATAACATATGGGGCCTGAGTGGAAGCATAAATTTTATATAATAACATGCAAGGAAAGAGCTACATCCATTGAGCGACCACTATCATGCCAGGATCACAAATAGACAGATAATAATAGTTACATACACATATACAACCCCGCCCGTGTTTGGGCGTATAATAGAAAAAAAAAAACATTAGAAGTTACAACATATTATAGACAATCAGAATCTAAGCCAAAACTTCACCAAACGGGTAGGCTTCACCCAAATGCTTGGACACACAGAGGCTAACAAGGAAGACGAGCATTAAAAGTTGAGGCTGACCTCCAAATGCAGGACCTACGGAATCAGACAAAATACATAGTGAGATAACCTCAGTGAATAATAGTACGTGAATAACTCAATGTTCAACTTGAATTATAATACATTTCAATGCATACATAAATAAGAGGGCATAAGGTTAATTGATTATGTACTCATTTCATAACGGCTTTAGGCCCAGTCCTGAAACATAATGGCTTGAAACATAATATCTTGAAACATAACGGCTTGAAGCCCTTGAACAGAGTGGCACAAAGTCCTTGAATATAGTAGCATTAAACTTTTAAACATGTTGGCATATAGGCCTTGAACTTATGGCATGAAGCCCTTAAACATGTTGGCATAAAGCCCTTGTTGGCATGTAGCCCTTGAACTCATGGCATGAAGCCCTTAAACATGTTGGCAACTATTACTAGATTGAACTTCATAATGCAGTCACATCCCATTTGTTTGTCATGAATTACTACCTCTAGTTCACAGATAACAGAATGTTATTACATATTAAACGAGTCCAGAGATACGCAGATACCATAATCTCGTAATACACTTACATTTCCCTTGTTCGTTATAAATCCATACAACTGACTTACAGATAACAGTGTGCTAGTATCCATTATCAATAATAAACAGAACGTAGTACCCAGTAATGCTCTTAGATTTTCCCATGGTTTCTCATAAGGTGACATAATTGTCCCACAATAATAGAACAACACTATTAACAATAAACAGAAGGTAAATGCTCCATTACATTAATAAGAGTGGAGCCATTCACATCATAACGTGGGTCACATAATCGTGTTATTGACATTCAATTCTTTCTCCGGATTGAGTCATTCAGAGGTTCATCTGATATTTAACATAATTTCATAATGGTTATTAACGTACAAAACAACCCGTAGTCTTATCCAATTATTTGTTTTGATGATCCACTCTAGGTAGATATCTGTATCATGTCAGTGTGTGCCAAATCCTTCAATGTTTACATAAGTTCACACTAATTCTCGTTCCACATACATGTTAACTTAATTGACCACGGAGAACAAGATGTTAATAAGAATAATTGATAACGGTAAATAATGTGCATCAGAGTACTATTACTCACAGTGCTATAACGGAGTGCTCGTCCTTCTCAGGTTATGCCCTACATGTGTACACAACTTATACAGTAAGGCATCAAACACAAATTCCAGAAATACCAGAGGGTTAAGCACGTAAAACAGAGCAAACAATATTTTGCAGCATGAAATTTCAAACCTACTTCTCCAACTCAATATATATATATAAAAGAACTAGTCTTACAAAACACATTATGGAATTTACACACATTCATCTTCTATTCAAAGAAAGAAAGGATTTTTATAAACATTTCCATGTTCCCCAAAACTCCTTAAATTTCTAGTGTTTTCACCAAAAACCAAACATTTCCCCATCCCCATAAGAAATCATATTAAATCATTCTCTTGATTTAATAACTAAGCAAGCCTACAAATATTTAGTAAAATGATTTGGGATTAAACCCATTCTTGAAAACTTCACATTTTAGGTCACAAAAATTAATATCAACATAGTCAATACCATCCCACATAATCATCACAATTCAACATATCTCAAAAGGAATTCTTAAATTCCATTTCAACATTCCATAATCGAATTTATATCATCCACATTATCAATAAATCTTTTCCCCCAATTTCCCTTTTATTAAAACATAATTTACAATGCATTTAACAAAGTTCAATCGCAAAATTTAAACATAATTTTCAAACATAACCAAATTCCAATTAAACTTGAACACATCTAATTCAACTTACCACTTTCATGATTCAACTATCAATTTGGGCCAAATCATGGATTATCATCAAAAATCAACCTAGGGTTTCTAAGAAATCTACAAATTTCAAATAAAATTTTAAATCTTCTTAACCCATTACTTTTTATTCCAAATCTTCTCATTTATTAGGCACCCTAGGTCCATAACCCATAAACCATACTCTAAACCCCATAATAGAACCCCAACATACCTCAAAAATTTCGGAATTCCATTCAGTAGAAAGTGGTGATCTCCTCTTATTCTCCATCCTTGATGCAAGATCCATGGTTGATTTGTTGAGAAAAGTGGAGGAAATCAAGGTTTTGGGAGCTAGGGTTTCGGACATGGAAGAGGGAAGAAGAAGAGAGGAAAAGAAAATCTAAGAAATGACTCAAAAATCACGTTTTTGAGCTGCTGCCCCGCACATCGCCGCACGTGCGCCGCATTTCCCGCACGTGCGGTCCTGCTTCCAGCACAAATATGAAAACTTCAAACAGGCGTAACTCTCTCATCCGGACTCCGTTTTAGGTCATTCTTATGCCCAAATTGAAGCCCCGAAAATAAGCTTTCCAATGGTTCTAACCTCACATCCAAATTCCAAGTGTGGAACAAGAAAAGGGAAAAAGAGTGACGGTTGGTCGTAAACGAATTATTCAAATTAAAGTTTTTGATCCAATCTTACTTTACCATCACATTATCATCTCAATCAATACCCCAAAATAAGGTAAGAATATTCCAAACACACTAAGAAGAACATCAAAAATGAGTCCACGTGTCTCAGAATCAAACTTAACCAGGCGACCCGCTCGAGCGCCCACTTATACGCTCGAGCGGAAAATCACCTCTCCCAGAATTTCAGTCCGCCTGCAAAATTACTAGAAACCCCAAAAGGACGCTCGAGCGCCAACTACTCCGCTCGAGCGGAGGGAAAAATTTCAGATTG